TTTAGATTGAATGTTTAGGGCCTGTTTGTTTAAAAAAAAAGCTAATATCAGTCTCTTATGTTTGATTTTTTAAGAGATATGGTCATTCAGATTGTTTGTTTTTTTCCAATTTGTCAGAAGCACTTATGTCTTGTTCCCCTCTTCTTTGATGAGAAACAAACCAACCTCTTATTTGCTTCTTATTGTTCTCCAAACTCTTAGCAACGACATTTCTTAATCGATTAATCTTAATCGATCATTTCTCTCAATTGATCCTTACCAAATCGATCCTCACCTGTCTCAGTTGATGTATTTTAATACGATTTAAATGTGTTAAATACCGTTAATGACATATTTTTTTAACGTATGTTAATTATATAATTTATGTATAAATTTTGTAATGATGATGAATAAGTATGTGAAATTGTATAAATTTGACACTATAATTTTCTAATGGGTAAAATAGACAATTTAAACAAATTCAGACATTTATCGATTTGCAAAAACAAACAGTCTTATTGATTCAGATTTCAAACTTCAGAACCACCTCTTTATTAATCAGAAATGAAATAAAACTTCAGACTTCAGCACCTCTTAAAAAACAAACGCCATCTAAATCTCATGCAAACATCATCATTTGATGACGGAATGTATTTGTCTATAAAAAACCTAACAACATGTTTTAGTTTCAATGCTTCCATGTGGTAGGGAAGATGTTATAATCACTCCAAATAAATTCATATTCATCTTTGATGCCATTTAATTTACAAACACACATAACGTATATCAAGTTCTATTTGATGTTTAGGTTTCTACCAAATATAAATTCTAAATTAAATTTTAATATCTTAATCTTACTGGGTCATTTATCTTATCGAGTGAGCATGACAAAGAATGAAAATTTTACTGGTAAGTGAGGTGATGACTCTTATACAGTTAGCGTTTACTGAATAAAAGATGCGTACTCGGTAAGGTAAGTAACAATGGTGACTTTTACCTGTAAACGCTAACCCAGTTACCGTTTGATAGATGTTCCCTTAGTTTTACGTTTTTGACACAAAAAGAACACCTTGAAAAGGAAATAACAGATACAATATATTTCATACAGATACCATCAACTATATCTTTTTTTTATTGTGCTTATATGATAAGCACTTTGATAACTACCCGATTCTTTGCAATCACCGATGGATCACCGATATATATATATTAGAAAAAGTAAATTCAAATAAAATAACATCAATTCATTGGCGAACAAATTACCGATGAATCATCCAAAAAAATTAAAAAATTAACTATCAATGAACTTGGAAGCTAACCATAAGGGTGGTGCTTAATTGGTTTGAGCTTGGTTCCAAAGATCAAAAGTACCAGTAGGTCCCAGGTTCAAATCCAAGGAGGAATAAAAATCCCCTTGTGGTCACGGAAGTTTAAATACGGTGACTCCGTGCTATTTGCAAAGCAGGTGGTCGTCCTGGGATTAGTCGGCTCGCATAGCGGGTTGGATATCCAGGTTAATAAAAAATGAACTTGGAAGTTGTATTTCACAAAACCAGATAACTTAAAAGATCATCTCGATTAAGAAATTCGTATTTTGCAAAATAAGGTAACTTAAAGAATCATCTCAAAAGATATGGTATTTCAAACTTTTGTGATTAACTTATAAATTTGCAATCAAACATCGTCTTTGGCATGAATATACTATATATATCGAACTCGTATCGAGGTAACGAATCTCGTAAAACCAGAAAATATACGAAAAAAGCACATTAGGAATAAAATCCACAAAAAACAAGACAACAAACAAAACACAATCACATCTCGACATAAGCTGTTTTTATTAAGCCTCGAGGGTGATGTAGTGAAAATCTCATCTTCTTCAGGTTCGAATCTAGGCGCTACCAAAGTCTTTGTGTCCATGGAAGTTTACCTGTGATGACTCCAGCTCATTCATGATTGCCTGGTAGATTAACTGGCGATTATAATAAATTGGTCTGGATACCCATGATTTTCAGAGAAAAAAATTGTTTTTATTAATAATAAAATAAAACGGTAAACATCTTTATTTTGTGAGTAGATATGTGAATTGAAATATTTAATAGCATCTCCAACGTATTCTAGAAAATAGAGAATCAAAAGTCAAGATCTCTAAAACAAAATTTAGGTTTATGTCTAACCGTTTCTCCATTTTAAAATTTACAATATAAATTATATTATTAAAATATTCAATCCAATTAATAAAAAATTATTTATTTCTCCCAAACATTTAATTTCAAAGATTTTCAAGATAGAAAAGGTAAAGAAATATTTTCTCTTTCCTAACAATCATTTTTGTAGAAATTTTCAAATTTGAAGAATTTTATACCAGTAAATCATGAGTTAACGTACGAATCATAGACGGACCTAGAGGGATGGTTAAGTGGCACGTGCGACCGTATTGTTCCTTCGGTAAGATAAACAAATTAAGTTCGTGAAAGGTGCAACCGTTTTATTCTAGAATGTGCAACCGTTTTATTCTAGAAGGTGCAACCGTTTTATATGATGCATCGTATCCAAAAATTCTTGGGATCCGTCCATGATACGAATGACAGATTGTCAATATGCATTTTCACATATTCTTCTTCCAATCATGCCTTTCAGTGTTGGTTTCACTTTCTAGTCGTTTTTTTTTCAAATTTATCAAAATAGTTCATAGATACGTGAAACCCATCTCCAATTGCAGACCTAGCTAAAAAAACAATTTTTTTACACTTTCTACCCTTATTCAGAAAGAAGAAAAAAAACAAATTTTCACCCGGTCGATAAAAAAGATTAAAATTGTAGACTTAAAAGTTATTTTGGTAAACCTTGTAAGGAAGTGGATAAAATCGGCCGTTAAAAATGATTATTTTAATTAATATTCGTAATTAATTAACGGGAATCTCAGCCGGCGTCGACCAACCGGATGTACTCCGGTGAGTAAGTGTGGTAGGTAGACAAAGCGAAGCCAACCTGGAACAGTCTAAACTTTGGCACGTCAACCACCCAAAATGGTTGACCAACCCCCAAATTAAAAAAGCCACGTGACACGTGACGTTTAATTTTGTTTCATAATATTTAGAGTAAATTACAATTTTAGTCCTTAAAATTTGCCTTTCCTTTTTGTATTTTCAAAATTCTAGGCATGTTCAATGCATCATATATATGGTTATTTCAAAATTCTAGGCATGTTAAATGGATCATATATATGGTTAATGGGACTTATTTAAAAAAGAACTGATTAGTTTGTGATAACTGTAAGATTCAATATGAACCATTCGTTTAAGATATTTAAGAATATTTCTTAAATAATCTAAAATGGTAATATAGTATTTCTATTTTTGACAACTAATCAAAATCTTTAATTAAATTTTTTAGGATGAAATATTTAATTAAAATTAGTTATCTAATATATCAATTACCTAATATACATTGTATTTTTAAAGACGTTTGTGAATCAAATTGTATCATAGTGATAATGTTCATAATGTTTCACAATTTATTTTTTTTGTTTTATAAATGTATCATATGGTGTGCAATTTTGTTATTTTCATTGTTTTATAAATGGTATCACATTGTGCATCTTGTATATATCTCTGAGTATCACAATGATTTTATTTGTAGGTATCACAGTATGTATCTTGTGTTCACATAAGATTCAACGGAATAAGGTTCGCCAAATAAGATTCGTTGGAGAGAGGAAAGAGGAGAGATAAGAGATGATTTTTATAAAATCCGTAAAATGTCCTTAATTAATATTTTAAGTTAAAATTACCAAAATTATTAATTTTCTAATTTAACTTTTGATTTGTGGTTGAGAATGGATCTCACGATTACTACAAACAAAACAGTTATCATTTGATTAGACTTTTATTGTTAATTACATTTCTATCTATTCACACATATCAATATTATTTGTTACAATCTCAATGCATGATTTAACATTATGACATAAAAAAAAGGTACATATAGCATTTCTCTTTCAATATTATTGTTTTTGTTTTTTTAGTTTGTAATTTATTGTTATTTTCATTCATAAACTAACACAGTGATTTACTGTTAAGTATTAGAGACAAAAATCATAAGAAAATAAATTTCATAAACTATAAACCACAAGGACGTTAATTGTTATTATAAAAATATAAAAACAAAATAACAGTTTTTAACAAACAACAGAGAAAATATTTAATTATTTTACGTAATGAATTTGTCGATTTTATAACAGATCTTTTCATTTGAATCTTTTTAAAATATATAACTTAATTTAAATTGTTTATTATCATTGATTTATTGAGTAACGGTAGAAACATATATTTATGTCTATTATATTATGTATGATATATAGATTTGTCGTCATAAATCACGTTTAACCTCGTCAATATACGTCCTACGCTATTTAAAATCTTAGGGTCCGTTTAGTTTGCAGGGTTATTTTTGAGGGATTTAGATCTGGATCTGGAAGGATTTGAAATCATTATTGTGTTTATTTGTAGGATTTGGAAGGATTTGAAATCATTATTGTATTTAATTTGTAGGATTTGGAATGAAATGAAATTTCATTACTTATAAATAATTTATAGAAAAAATTATAAATACTTATAAAAATAATTGAATTATATTTTTATTAATCGATTGCTACAAAACAAATGTTTTTAACATTTTTTAAAACCTTATTGTATACAATCCTACAAAATCCTGAGTACTTTTTAAGGATTTCAAAATCTTATGTTTGAAATATTTCAATTAAATCATATTATTTCAAATCCGAACAATCCAACAAGCCAAACATTAGATTGAAATGTCCAAATCCATTACATTAATCTCACCAAATGCAAATAAATAATTTAATTGTAATAAATTATTACTTTTATAACTATATATATTTTTTAAATGTAAATTAATGGATAATATTAGAATTTACGGTGGAGAAAAACAAGAACCGGACCCCAAGCTCACCAACCACACCAGTGCTCCTCGTTAATTTGAAATTCCATTTTTACCCTATAAACCAATCCATAATCACCAAACCACCCTCCGGCCACCAAACCTTGACCACGCGTATAAAGGACCTTCTCTTTTTACAACCTTTATTCCAATCCGAAGCCCATTTCTCTCTCTAAACTTTCTACTCTTTGTACGAAATTAAACAAGAATATTTTCCGATGGAGCCGGAAAAGGAATCGGAGATCATTTTCCGATCAAAGCTGCCGGATATTTACATACCCAAACATCTAACTTTACACTCGTATTGTTTTGAAAACATTTCAGATTTCAGCGACCGCCCATGTCTTATCGATGGCGCCACCGGCCAGGTTTACACCTACGCTGAGGTCGAGCTCACATCACGAAAAGTGGCTTCTGCTCTTCACAAACTAGGCATCGGCAAGGGCGATGTCATCATGATTTTGCTTCAAAACTCGTTTGAATTTGTTTACTCTTTCCTCGGTGCTTCCTACCTTGGCGCCATCTCCACCATGGCCAATCCTTTCTTCACCGCTGCTGAGATCATCAAGCAGGCAAAGGCGTCCAGCGCTAAGATCATCATCACCCAATCCTCACATGTACCGAAGGTGAAGGAATTCGCGTCGGATAATTCAATCAAGGTTGTTTGCATCGATTCGGCTCCTGAAGGTTGCTTGCACTACTCGGAATTGACCTCCGGTAACGAGACCGAATTACCGGAGGTTGAGATCTCGTCTGATGACGTGGTGGCGCTTCCGTACTCCTCCGGGACCACGGGACTGCCAAAAGGAGTTATGTTGACTCACAAAGGACTCGTGACGAGCGTAGCACAGCAAGTCGACGGAGAGAATCCGAATCTATGGATCCACAAAGAAGATGTGCTGATGTGCGTGTTACCGCTTTTCCACATATACTCGTTGAATTCGATTTTGTTGTGTGGGCTACGCGCCGGAGCTGCCATCCTAATAATGCAGAAATTCGAGATAGTTCCGTTTCTGCAACTAATCGAGAAGTACAAAGTGACGATCGGGCCATTCGTGCCGCCGATCGTGCTGACAATTGCGAACAACGAAGAAGTGGTGGATAAATATGACCTGTCGTCGATAAGAACAGTGATGTCCGGCGCGGCGCCGTTAGGGAAAGAGCTTGAAGATACTGTTAGGATCAAGTTTCCTAATGCGAAGCTTGGACAGGTATGGCGGTCCACCAAACACTTCCACACACTTCAATACACACAGATGCTGCATCCTTGTCCACGTATTTCTTACCTGTTTTTATAAAATCATGGAAATGGATTAAAATAGTGCAACTAAATTCATATTTTAACAATTTTTTTAATTAAATTTTATTTATGCAAACTTTATAAAATTAACTTGGTGCATTTATATAAAGCCTATTTTTAGATTAAAAATAACATAAATAAATTATATAAGGATCGTACATTTGATTAAATAACTTTTTTTTAATTTAAAAATAGGCTTAAATTTTAGAGAAAATGAATTTTTTTTAACCTGGATATCCAACCCGTTATGCGAGCCGATTAATTCAGGACGACCACCTGCTTTGCAGATAGTCCGGAGTCACAGCATTTGAACCTTCGTGGCCACAAGGGAATTTTTATCCCTCATTGGATTTGAACCTGGAACTTCCTATTACTTTTGACCTTTGGAGTCAAGTTCAAACCAATCAGACATCATCGTTATGGTTGAAAATTAAATTTTTTGATGCGTGTGACTTAAAAAATAAATTTCATTAAAAAATTCGACTATTTTTTATCAATTTACAATTTTTTTAATCAAATTAGATTGTAAATTACAAGTTGACAAACAGGCCCAAATCTATATTTTCGTTTAAAAATAGCTATTTAAATATTTAAGGGGTTGTTTGTTTATCTCTTAGTAATTTTATTAACATTAAGAGACAACCTCTGAATCATAATGAGGTGAATCTTGTTTGATTAAAAAAATTATGTCTTTTAATGGTCCTAAAATCCTTTGAATGATTTTGTATTATAGACATGTCCTTAACCATTCAGCGTCCTAATTTCATTGTAAGTAATTACCAAATAATTATATTTCATTTTATTTTATATCATTAAGATCTCTTAATCATTTTGTATCAAATCATTCAACAATCGTAAAATATTTTATGAAATTGTTAATTTGTTGGGTAAAGAATAAATGGAAGGAAAATTGGGAGCCGAATTTTCTGCAATAAACAAATATGGAAAATAAAATGGATAATAAATTTATTGGTGGATTCAGTAATATAATAATCGTACAATTATAATGAAAATAATTGTGGTAGGTGGAGATAATGAGGTTTGACATGAATGATGACAGGGTTACGGTATGACTGAGGCCGGACCGGTGCTAGCCATGTGCTTGGCCTTCGCGAAGGAGCCATTTGACATCAAGTCCGGAGCATGTGGCACCGTGGTCCGTAATGCCGAGATGAAGATTGTAGATCCCGATTCCGGTGCTTCCCTTCCCCGGAACCAACGTGGCGAGATTTGTATCCGGGGTGATCAAATCATGAAAGGTACATCGTACTTATCTTTATATATATATATATATATATATATGTTGTTATCGCTTTCTATAAACGTATATACAAAATGTCAATCAGATAATGTTGGTACTATTTCATGATTTGACTGATGTCTAGTCATTAATATTCACTAATTTGTAGCCCATTTTTCGGTTGCCTAACTCTACGTACTATATGAATTCGGTCATTACACTTTTATGCTATTTATAGGTTATGTTAATGACCTGGAGGCGACTAAGGCGACTATAGACTCCAAGGGTTGGTTACACACCGGTGATGTAGGTTACATTGATGACGATGATGAGCTTTTCATTGTGGACCGGCTTAAAGAGTTGATCAAATACAAAGGATTTCAAGTAGCACCAGCCGAGCTTGAAGCGTTGTTACTAACTCATCCCGACATCTCTGATGCTGCAGTTGTCCCGTAAGTCTTCCTTAACTTTAACGGAATTCTTCTTTGTAACATGATATTCGACTTCAGAATGAAAATTCCAAAGTTAGGTCTCGATTGGGTCCCCCTTGGGGAAATTGCCAAAATGGCTTGATTGGATCTACACGAACTTCGGATCAGCACATGGTAGGGACGGACTCAAGAATTTTTGGATACAGTGACACCATATAAAACGGTTGTACCTTCTAGAATAAAACAGTTGCACCTTTTACGAACCTAATTTTTTTTACCTTACCACAAAGAAACAATATGGTGACATGTGCCACCTAACCACCCCTTTAGGTCCATCTATGTCACATGGTTGTAATTGAGGCTACCATCAAAGATTCCAAGATTGTACATAATTGCAAAAGATCTAAATTCCACTTACATCCCATTAGTTATTCAGACTATACAAAATATCCCCATCCACTATGAGATTTAACACTATTATATCTGTAGCAAGAGATGGGCATTCATAACCGAAAAACCGGGCCCCGGTTATGATGGGACCGACAAAGCCCGGATATGTAAATGGTCAAGCCCACTAGTTTCCCAAATTGGTCCTATGTCGAGCCTTGTGTAACCCTCTGTGATGGCCAGTTAGAGGGACCGAAATAATGCACTTTTTTCATGTAACTAATATTTATATTTTCAAACAATTTGCTCAAATATATAACGTTGTACCTTAAACAACTTATATCTTCTATAAAAAAAAATTAACAGCAACCCATTAGCATGACTAGTTAAGAAGGATCGATTGCTTGACCTGCCATTTTTTTCAACCGGCAATCGGTTATATAACCGTGACCGGTTAAAGGCCCGTTGGGTTGATCGGTTTGCCCTTTTTTTTTTGTACTGATCATCTTCGTGGCATGTTTATCTCAGTATGAAAGATGAAGCAGCCGGAGAGGTTCCAGTTGCATTTGTGGTGAAATCCAATGTAGACGTTACAGAAGACGATATCAAGCAATTTATTTCCAAACAGGTATGTTTTTATATAAACAAAAGTTGACTAGAAACACGCAATATTTCATATCAAATTATTATATCGGTTTACGGCAGTGACGTTCTAATCTTTTTGGAAACCCTGTTGTATCCAGAATTTTTTATGGCATTACATAAGAGATATCAGCATATATATATATATATATATATATATATATATATATATATATATACCTAAATTATTAATAATTTATATAAAACCTAAGACTATAGCTTTACACAAATTGATGAAAATGCCCTAAACATATGTAAAATTGTGAACCCTTGTTCAAAATCTCACATTTAACATGCTAAGTGACAACTTTGATTTACGGTTTGTTTTTATGATTTACGGTTTGTTTTTATGATTTACTATGCAGGTGGTGTTTTACAAAAGAATAAAGCGGGTGTTTTTTATTGAAGCAATTCCAAAATCACCATCAGGGAAAATACTTCGCAAAGAGTTGAGAGCAAAACTTGCAGCCGGCGTTCCAAATTAAATGATACGGCATCAATCATTAAATTGAGGGTTGAAATTTGGTAAGGATTGCGTCTTGCTGTTGATGGGTCGAAATTAGAATGTTGTCTGTATATCAACTCTTTTTGAAGATAATGTTTTTAATAAAATAATATTATTTATACTTTATTATGTATTTGATAATAACTCTTAAAAACCATTTTTTATGTATGAAATATTATTTAAAATTCAACATTACAAATACATTATACCTAATTACAATTTATTAAAGCTTTATAATTGAATTCGTACGATTAACTGTATATAAACATAATTAAATACGAGATAAATATTTCATGTTAAATATAAAAAATCTAAAATATAATTAGAATGATCATTGAGTTTTAACAAAATATTTAATTAATTGTTTTATTATTAAATGTATATTAAACTATAAAAAAATTTGAATTAAATGAAATTACACAGAAAAACAATAATTTTTAAATAGTTAATTTAGTACTAATATCAATATTATTTATTTTCAAAATTTTATCATATCTTTAAATTTATATTTTATTAAAAAATAAAAGCATTATCTATTTCTCAAAACGACATAAACCGTATTATAATATGGACAGAGATAAAATAAAATAAAACATTAAAATTGAGATGTATCTCGCTGTAGTATACGAATACCCTTCAATTATATTTATATATATATATATGGTTGGGTTCACGTGAGACCAAGTGTTTTTCGTGAGACCTGTAAGACCAATTTATGTTTATTGATCAACTTTATAAACATATGATCTAATGGTCTAAAGTTGCACGGTGACAATTGTGTAATTATTGAGAAGTCTCATGGCGTTTATGAATGTTCAGATATGATGATTGTAGATCTAATCCAAGGGTTGAGAATTGGTCTTACGGGTCTCACGAAAAACTATTGGTCTCACATGATCCCAAGTCTATATATATATATATATGGAGGCCTAATCAAATTAGAACTAATTAGTTTGTAGTAACTGTGAGTTCCAACGTGAGCCAATCATTTAAAATAATTAATATTTTTGTTAAAATAAAATAGATGAGCAAATTAATAATTTGGATTGATTATTCAATTTACTTTAATTAGTTTAATATTCCAATTTACTCTAATTAGATTAATTACTTTATTTTGGGTATTGTATTGCTCATGGTGTGTATCACATTAGTTTCTAGCTCTCCCTTGAATGACCCCTCTCTCTCTCTCTCTCTCTCTCTCTCTCTCTCTCTCTCACACACACACACACACACACACATATATATATATATATATATATATACACACACAACGTAGATATTATAATGGTATTACAGTTGGTACTAGAGTTGGTATCATAGTGGTCTCGATGTTTACTTGGTGTGTTATGAATATTATATTGTATATCTTGGTGTATTTTGAGAGGTTTTCTAACCCCACCCTCTGCTACCAACTAAATCCCATCCCCTTCTACACTAACAGACAAAAAACAGCTAAAGACAAAACTTAAATATTTTCATTTTTAACCTTTTAATTTTTTAACTTTTAACCCTTTACTTTTTTAACATGTTTTGTATCTATACTATATTATAAAGCATTTGACTAAA